CCCCAGGGTCTGGTCTGAGCATGGCGCACGAAGCTAGGGAAGGGGATCGCCTCCTGAAGTCCTTGTCTCCAGGTCAGTTTCCAAGAGCAAGCAAATCTTCACCTCGAACCATAACAAAACTCATGGGCACTTGTGCCTAGGTTCTGGAAAACATGCAAATGTCGCTGAAAGAGAACTCTAGTCTTGGCATTTGTAATCCAACAATGGACTGAGGACACGTGCAAACATGCATGGACCCCTCGTAACAACTTGAGGCTTCTTGATATCAGGGGCAACTGTCGGCTCCTCCCTTGGGTAGGCTCCTTCCTTGTGTAGTATTACGGGCCTAAAGGGCCTCTCGTGGGGGCTCACCTGCAAAGGAGACGTTCAAAGTGACCAGTTTTGTCAAGAGACGCAAGGCGCCTAGACGCCACCTTGCCTCACGAGGCTCTGAGTTCGCGGACATGCTGAGGGACAACTGGTTCAAAACGTGTAGAATGACTGTAGAGCGTAGAATGACTGCAGAGCTTCAGGCATGGGGTCGTGCTGGCAAGCCCGTCGGTAGGCTTGCAAATCCGCTCAAGAAGAAGTGCAAAAAGTGCCATGGGCTTGCAGCGCCAGAAGAAGCGTACAACATTGTCAAACGAAACCATCAAGTCCCAAGCAAGAAACGCCCTCTGCATCCCCAACAGCTCCAATTGACACCGCCAGTCCTTGCAGTCGGCTTCTGCTTTCAGGGCATCTGCAAAGTGACCCGGCCAAACAGCCTGCAAGTGGAATGCGCATATTTATGACTGCGACTCTGATGCTTCGTTTAAATGTCTTGATGAAATTGAATGGCAAGATTGAAGGCCTTCTGATGAGAATAGAGAGATGAGAAAATGGCCGAGGTGTAGATGGTCATTTCTCAAAGGGTCTCCTGGCATGCCCAACATCAAGAAATCCTGTTTCTAGGGTCAGTAGGAGGTCAGACTCGGATGCTGCTGAGGACATCCCAGGATACTTTGATACTGCACAGCTGACACAAGGACACTCGCCAAGACAACGAAGAAGAGCCACTCCGTATGCAGTAGACCTGACCCGATATTCCGGTCCCTGCAGCCAGCAATAGGCTCTTCCACCATTCAACCGCTATAGCTATATGATACTACGGAGGATGGAGGACCTCTTGCACACCATGGATGCCTCAACTTCTACAGATCCCATTGCCAATTGCCGTGCAAGATCTCCTCCTCCATCAACAAAGCCCCATGGAATCTCCCAAAAAGAGTTTCCAAACGCGGGGCCCCACATTTGGCAAAGAGCACGAGTTTGAGGACCATAGCAGATTTTCCTGCAGCCCCTTTCGGCACTGTGCTCCTGCCTTGTCACGTGCTTTCTGTACGAAACGCCAGCGGAAGAGTTGCTGCCAGACAGCTGCCTCTAGCACCAGAAATTCCGGTAAGGGCGCTTCGAAGGTCTTCTGCTCTGGGGCTTGAGCTCTCACAAGAGACTACTCTGGTTGCGGGCTTTGGGCGTATCAAAGGAATATCAGGGGCTGATTGAATGGAGATTTAGTGAAGCTTGTTTCATGCTTTTGCCGGGGGACGCCGTTTGCCATGTGGATAATTATGCCGGAAGTTTCACTTGGGGTTGTTCGCAGGAAGGGGTTCAAGCACAAGTGCGACTGAAAAAAGGTCCCCGTCCACCAGGGTAAGTGCTCACCGCGAAGCCCTAAAGACGTAGCACCATAAAAGGGCTGCCATCCAAAGCAACCCTCGCTGCATCTCGCTCCCATCCCTCCTGAACACTCAATCTGGATGCTGCATTTACAGGACACCAGAAAGTGACACATCCCGAATGATCCCAGCCTCTGCCACCTGCTTTCGCCAGGTGGTGCTGGTAGTTCTCAGAGCCAGGAGAGAGGGGACCTGGGCACCCAAGCAAGGGCACTGAGTTATTTCTAAGCGTTTGCTTCCTGGAGTCTGAGAACCGTTTCCGAAACTGGTACAATCAATGTGGATCCTGACTTATGGTTAAGTCGACACAATCCCAAATTCAAATTGGGACGCCCCAAATTCCTTCTTGCCGCTTCAGGGAAACCGTAGAACCTGCGCCACTACAGGTGCTCGGGGCAGGTCAGGGTCGTGGTGGAGGAGCTGGAGGCAGCGATAAGGGCGGGGCAGGGGAAGTGGTACTTGCGTCCAATTATGTCCAGTTCATCATCGTCGTTGCCGCTGCCAGCGCCATCGTCGTGGTCCTCGTCGTCTTCGTCGTAGGAGGACCCCATAGTCTTACTAACGTAGTAGTCGTGACAGCAGTGACAGGGGTGGCAGCAGTGGCAGCATGGAGGTTGTCTTCGACAGCGGAGATGGTGGCTGTTGTTCATGAGAAGAATTGAATGTCAGCATACAAACAACAAGAATATTGCCTGAAACAACAGCTGCTGCAGCTAAAAAAAAGTATTGGTAGAGAATTAGGTCCAAGAAGCACGGAGGTGGCCGGTGACTCGCCCGAAGCGCTCCTACGCGGTCATGCAAAGCAACGCCGAGTTACCTTACGCAATCCGATAAGGATTTTGGAGGATTTCTTGGTAGTCATTCTAGGGCGGTTTCGGGTGTATCTTTTGGGGCTCCTGCTTTTCAAGACCATGACTGCTTGCATCCCGTTCTCCAGGACATCCAGCGCCACATCCAACGACGCCAAGGCAGCCATGCGGCAGCCCAACGAAGCAATTGGAGACGTGGTTTCAGTTCGTTGTTTGGCAAGTTCAGGTGTTGGGTCTGGTCATTTTCCTTCGGAGCTTCGAGATGCAGCTGTAGTTGGACTCACAAGGCAAGAGTCCATCTTCAGGTTGCTGAGTGGAGGTGATGTTTGGTTGGCCTCACGGTACTGGGAATAGAGTCAAGGTGGTTAAGCAATGGATTCCGTGCGATCTTGGTCAACTCCTACTTCGTCCATCGAGGCTGCCAAGCAATGTTGTAGGAAGCTTACTTTGGCGGCCTGGACCCGCAAGGGCTCTGGAACTTGAGTTTGGGAGCCATCCCTTCACGTCCGTTGGCGAGGACTGTCAGCCCTTTTGAAGAGCAGACTGCATGAACACGATCACAGTTGCGAGCATCAGTCCGATCAAGCTCCCTTAAAGCCTGGCAACTTGACTACCTAACAGCTTTTGTGGCTTGTCTCACACTGAACAAGCATTGTTTCTGCAGTTCTGTTCGCTCTTAGTCTTTGGAAGACTCAGGCATCCTGATCTTCAAAGAGGTCTATGAGAAGATGAAACGGAGCTAGCCGCTCTGAATGCAGCTGCTCCAGCAGCTTGCCAATAAAGCAAGCTTCTATGCGTTCGGAGTGCAGTCCAAAGCTGACGAGCAAGAGGAGAGCTACAGACGCAAGCAACAATGCGACGACATCCTGAACTGAAAAGTAGGCAGTTCTGCTCTCAGGTTGTGAGTTTCTCTGCAACTCTCCTCCTCTGTACATGTCAGCTCCGCATCATTGCACGAAAGGCCCACTGCACGTCGTGGGCCCTGAGCCGGCCAACCTGCAGTGGTCTGATGAATCTACTCCTGACAGGAATTTGCCTCCAGCGTAGCTAATGCGCAAAGTCGAAACCTGACAGCCTTCTTGAGAACCCATGCGACCAGAAGCTACATAGATGTTTGAAAAATGATGATGGAGGGTTGCTAACATTACATCCGGCAGAGCGCTTCTCAAAATCCCAGGCAGGAACCCCAGAAACACCACTATAACAGGCCTCGCTTTCTACTCTGCGAGCGAAGCGCCGCCGCTTCGCCTGACGTCCAAAGCAGCCTGTGACCGATGCAAGGAGTGACGAATGGGGTGGGATGTCTCTAACAAGCAGCACTTTTTGACAATGTGAGGTTGGTTCACGGTGGTGGGGGATTACCACATCGGCTGCAAAAAGCTACAGACACAATGTGCAATTTTGGCAATCGGGATCTACCATGCCATTGCTGGTGACACCTGCATAACTCATTTCTATAGTCTACAGAAGTCCTGTGCAATGTAAGACGTACACCTGCTCACGCCTGAATCTGGGGCCGAATGTGCCTCCACCTTGATCCAGGTCGACCTGCATTGCGACGCAGTTCTCAACATCGGGACAAAACAAAGACAAAATGCCACAGGTCATTATAGAAGAGTTGTGTGCTAATCTTACTATCATAATGATATCCGTGGGAATAGACACAGAGATGACCCCCATGGTAACACTGAGAAGAAGAATGCAGGTGCAAGGCTCTGCAAAATGCAGCACTATCAAGGCGGCATCTATTCAATGGGCCGTACAGGCATTTCTCGTCATGAATCATTACTTAGGTGCCTCGGGAACTAAACTAACCATGCCCTTGTCGAGGATTAGAATTGCGACGCCCATTGTCACAAAGCTACCCCTGTCTTACACCAATTACAGTGCTTGGAAAAAATCAGCCTGTAGAAATTATCTATTGCTTGTCGGAGTCGGGGGAACTCACATTTTGCGCGATGACACCTACCAAGAAACTGCAGGTGTGGATCTGCCGACAGCAACGCATACGGCACCCCTAACGCACCCCCGCAAACTTCGGTAGAGACCCTGCAAACAGTGTTCATCTTGAAACCATAGCATCGTCATGATTGCAACCCGAAATAGGTGGCCACCAGACTGTAGGGAAATCCTCACCATGCATCCTACAGCAGCACGCAGGCAGTGGCACCTGGGCAAACAACTCTTTTTGAGCATTGTGCAGCAAAGAGCTTGAAAATGTCCCCTTGCAAAAGCCTGTAGGGCCGCTTGGAGGTTTGAGTAAGCACGAAAGCTGGAATCGTCTGACTGAAGGCTATGGATAATGTTCTCTCAGGCTTTGTCGTCCACATCTACACCTCCTGAGGTCTTCACCCTGCATTCCCCCCCTGTTCAGAAGCGGGCGTTGCAGAGCGGCAGTTGAGCCAATGGCCATTCTTCAAACATCTTAAAACAATCAGCCGAGATGCAAGCTGAAGGGGTCGCTACTACGGCTGCATATGCTTAAATTACGGACTCACAGTGATGCCACTGCACGGGCTTTTGTTGCACCAATGTCTGCAGGGCTTGCAGCAAGCCGTTTCCTAGCCGAGCGGGAGGAGCGAGAGGAGCGGGAGGATCGAGAGGAGCGAGAGGAAGCACGGGATGAAGGGGGGCGGTACAGAGCTTTTGGTGCATGGAGTGGCTCGTTTTGAAGGTCTGGAACGGCGAAGTGAAGGAGCAGGCCGAGGCTGCTTTGGTTTCTTCGTACCCTTAGGACCTCGATGGCACCAGAGATGTGAAGACAGTTGCGACTGTCCCACTGCAGCTCCAGATTCCCAAAGTTCAGCTCTTTGTTCTCGAGAGCCTTCTGCTTGTCGAGCTCCTGCACCTGAAGATATACCTGCTGCAGGAAGTTCAGCTCCGCTTGCCCGAACAGCTCTCGCAAATGCCTTCCAGCAAGCCAGGTCGCATGAACTGATGCCGAGACGACCTGCAACTGCTCCATGTCAAGCTGTAGGAAAACTGCGCGCTGAGTGTCCAGTGACTCGAGTTGATCATCAACCAGCCTGCCTCTGTCTTGCGGAGCGCAATAAACTCCTTCACTTCCAGTGCTGTCCATTGCATTTCGACCTGCCAAGGAAGCTTGGTCCGTGATGTCTCGGAGGCCTATCAGGTGGCAGGTGCGGCCATCGAGACGGCGATACCTCACGTGAAAAACCTCCGTGCGAAACTTGCTTTGGCAGCTGTCCATGATGCGAGTGTGGAAGGCGCTCGTCCAGACTGCACGTTCATCGCTCTGCCAAGCGGCGTCGGGGTCGTCCCCTCGCAGAAGCTCCTCTGCGCGATGGGTCTCCGCAGTGGTGGGCATCAGCTCGGTGAAAAGCTTCCCTTGCAGCGACATGCTCGTGTCCCTCAAGAGTATGGCACTAAGCTCAGGAGCAGGGGTAGTGAGCCGCAAATCCTGGTCCAACTCAACCACTGCATCGCATATGAGCGCCAGCAGGGAAGATGCCGCAGTCAGTTCGGTGGCAGCCCTCCTTATCAGGATGCCTTGCTTCACCCGGTTCTGCAATGCTCGCTCTACTGCCAAGGATCCCAAAAGCGTAAGCACCAAATTGAAGGTCTCAAAGATCACTGCGTTGAGCCGGCTGAGCTCGAAGTCGCACAAGCTGAATGTGGAGTTGCTGTGTGTCAGAACTCGCAGCTGCATCAGAAGGCACGGCCCCAGGTTGCACACGAACACCAGCCAGGGGCGTGTGCAAACCAAAACTGCCGGCAGACGAATCGCAGCCAGGATGAAGAAGGACAGGTGCAAGCTTTGAGACAGAGTGGCAACCATGGGAGCCACAATCAGCGTGCTAAGAATCATGCCGACCACAAACCAGGCATCAAGCGTACCCGGGCGGATGACACGTGGCGCCAGGAATCCAGCGCAGAAGAAGGAAGCACAGACAATGCTCAACCATGCCAGTTGTGCAGACATCCATCTTTGGTGAGAGCCAATTAACAAGTTCAGCTGCACAAAACTACAGTTGAGCAGCCAAATCGCCAGAAGGAAATTGTTGACAATCATAGCAAGGGAACAGCGGCTCTGCCGCACTCCATCGTAAATCAGCTTCCATTCTTCTCGGTTAAATTGCTCTTGACCCTGCTGGGTCCTGAACCAACACCCACATCGAGTCGCTAAGCCACGAAGGGATTGCCAACGCAACGCCGCCAGCCACAGGACCTTCCCCAAGCAAAAAACTTCCAGTGCTGTGAACGCAAACAGCCAGGACTCCTTGTGCAATGCATCTGGATCAAGGGAGAGATCCATGGCTACTGCCCGCAAACTTTGTCGGGACAACAGGGAAGCGCGGACAAAACCCGAAGACCACTACGCAGTTGAAGGCAGACTCTATAACTGTGCAGAACACATTGTGTGTCCTGATGAGCCCAATGCCTCTGGTGTCGTCATGCGAGCCGCTGGAAAAAGTGTGCTCAACGCTACTCACAGAAACTTGAAGGGATGCGATAGTTTAACGCTACCGGGCTTGGTGACTACCAGCTACACACAGTCCTGAGACGATGCGGCTACAATCAACTGATTCGCCACGGTACTGATTATGACAGTTGACAAGATGTGAGCTGCACACAGAGCTCCTCCATGCAGTAGCACAAGTAGATAAGTGAACTCATAGAATCCCTACCGTCTAGCGTTCAATTCAAGTGAATTTGTCCATTCGCGCACCCGATTCAAAATCAAAACCTGGGCACGGAATCCTGTGTCTTAAACACAGACTTCGAGGATCTCTTGACTTAGTAAGTCTACTTAGTAACTCGGGTTGGTGGGGCCTATAATAATAAGAGTTATAAGGGATAGTAGATAGACTTACGAAGTCCAAAGATCATCCATGGAAAAAGAACAGGAGCACGGGAAAATTCCTAAGGTTTCGGTGATGACTCGACTAAGCTTCCTTTTTCTTTCCCTCGATTCCATTAGAGAGGCTTCATCACACAGAGTTTCCTGATAATGGCCTGGGAAATGCCAGGTCTTCATGAAATTTAAACAACCGAGTTAACAAGGTCACCACATCAGCAAAAGGTGGCAGTACGGACTTTTCCACGTTTCCGCTCTGGGCTTGGAGTGATGCGCGCAGGACATGGAAAAGGCTGCGAACCTGACCCGAGGAGGCAATCCGAATAGATCAGTCCCATGATGTTGCTTTGGTACCATGCATGGAGAATCTGCATTCTCATTCGTATGGGGACCGGGCATTTGGCCATAGAAGGGGGCAGGAGCTGGCTGGAACATTTCCAGCTTCAAGGTTTTGAGCTTGAGTCGAGAGTTGCTCGGAGGTCCAACTTGTGAGAAACCATAAGGACCTTCATGTGGTGCAAATGAGCCTCACAGCCTTATAATGTAAGCCTCAAACCACTACAGCAATGGGGCTTCAAAAGGCACTTCCAGGCACACCAACGCTGCTTGTCTTTTCACATCCTTTTGTTGTCAACTTTCTGGACTCTTTTGCATCACCAGTCATGGGCCTGCTTGCTTGGGGATGAGACATTGCACAAATACAACAAAAGCAAATTGGCCATCAGCATGGTCCTAGCATATCAAGCCTCACAAGTGAGTCATGATATTTGGACCACCTGAAGGCACTCACCTGCAGATGCCTAGGCACTGCACCTTGTGAGGTTATGCTCCCGCCCACTGATTTGCTCCAACAAAACCTTCAGCCCTGAAGCAGATACCCCGACCAGTCCATTCTCCGTCAAATCCTGACTCCAAACCACTAAACCACTCCCCACAAGCTGCCCAACTTTCATGGAGGTGAGGGGGGTGCCTCTTCACTGGCCGAACGTCCAGCCTCATCTGCTAGCCTCCCAGTCCCCTTCTGAGGTGCCACAGCTACTGCTCTAGCAGTGGAGCTACCCTGCTCGGTACTCTTGCCTTGGCATGACTATGCCGTGTGTTGCTCCTGTAATTTTGATTATCCTGTGAATCTCCAGTATAACAATCATGGCCCTCCCTGTTTTAGCTGCAGGTCCCTGATTCCGCATGCTGAATGCCCAAATCTGCAGATATTGCTTCTTCCGGTCTGGGTCTTGAGATTCTCGGGGCTAGGGGCATCAGCATTTGCCGCCGCGCCGCTTACGCGAGCCGTGCGCACAGAACGAGACAACATGGAGCATACTCAGGGAGGGTAAGCCATTACAGGGCCCTGATAGCATAGGGCACCAGAAGGACCATATAGCCTCGGACCAACAAGCAGCGAGGCGCTTTCTGACAACGAATTGCTTAAGGCGTGCGTCGGTCTCAAAGGCTTAGAAGCCCATCTGGGAGCAACAACTAATCTTCTCGCCAACACAGACCAAGGCTTGCAGTCCACTAACCTCGGTAGTGACAACCGATCTTAGCGCCCTCTACAAAGGGATAAACACGGAAAAACCCAATGGGCCCCTACATAAGATCCAGATTCCACTTCATTGTCCTTTTCTTTGGCCTTTGAATCATTGGATTCTCCGAAACCCTAGGGGCCCCAAATAGTCCCTTCAGAAGGAACCCGGGAGGTTTCCACATTCCCTTCCGAAGTTACGGCCTCAACTCGCTTGTGACGCCTTCCAGCTTCCAGCCATAGGCCTCAGAACGAGGGCCTAACTGATCCAAAAAGGGGTCCTGGATGGTCCCGGTTAATTCATGCCGTGCCTGACTTCGTATGGGCTTCAAAGAGCAATCAAATTAGGCAGGTATGTCAAGCGTACAAGCTTCTATGTCGCACACTAGAGTCACTAGAGCTTTCTGCAGATCTCAACTCTTCAGCAAGGATGCCTCATGCGAAGCTTTGGGTGCGAGCTTCCAATTTCCTTCAATGTCTGGGTGAGGAAAACCTTTCAGAGGTGTTGCCTGCGACTGACCCAGAACCCCAACGGGATCCAACAATCAGACTTATCAATTCCAAAGCAGATAGCATGCTGTCAAGGATTTCTCTTCTTGAACGCTTCTCTGGGGGTCGCGAGCATGCAAGGTACTTTGCAGACATCCAATTCCGGCCAGGCCACGCAGACTCGCGCAGCCACATTGCGGAAGCTGGGGAGGCGGCTGGGCCTGGATTTGAATTCCCTTGACTGGATGAGGAGGTTATATAGATAGAGGCCATTCTCACAAGTGTAGGAATTTGTTGTGGGCTCTTGTTACCACTTGGGATGGCTTCGGTCGAGGGTCGAGGCACATAGGGGACCAAATCCAAGCACGAAGGCTGTACTACTCCAAGCGCTGTTCAGAAAGGTATCATGTCATGACTCCCATTCCCTTGCCTAATCTGATGTGCAATTAAATCTATGATTACTATTATTACCGTTATCACAGTTATTACTATTATTGCTGTTATTATGCTTGTCATAGATCTTTGCAAGCTAGAGGCTTCCAAGCCAGGCGCACAGGCTTCTGGGCATGTTGCTCCTGGCAAGGGACTTTGCCGGACTAGTTTGGATGCCTGCGCCTAGGACCCACCAAGAACGAACCTCCAAGTTCGAGCAAACTTCAAGAATGATGTAAGTGATTTAATATGACATGTAAGGACTTTACGCGCATTGTGCAAAGTTGCTCTGGGCTACAGCAGAATAGCGGCCGGACTTGCGTAAGTTTCTTGCATCTTGCTTATCCAGAACCTACCTTCAGACCTAACTTCGGCTGGACCTCAGGTGCCTGGCAAAACTAAAACCACGTCTGATTGATGTCCTTGAGGTATTGCAGCCAAAACAAGTCCAATACCGCAAGAAGAAGCAACCTGAGCAGGGCAAGTTTGTGAACCAAATCACGGCGCCTGGTTGTTGCGTGGTCTTGTGTTTAGGATCCTTGGACCCGTTGATTCAACAACGAAAACGCAAAAGAAACCTCAGAGACGCAGAGGTCAAAATAGCCCCTGCTCGTTGCCGGAATCCCTCAATGCCTCGAGTCGAATGATAAATGCTATATAGAAACCGTGTGAGATGCATGTTGGCTTGGTTGCGGTCCCATGAGCCAGAACCTCCGAAAGCGAATTGATTTCAGCATTCAGCCTAATCTTCACCATGTCTCTCAAGCCATGACTAGATCCTAGTGTATGTTCTGCCTTTGTTCTAAGTAAAACATCAACAACAGGAGCCGAACATACCAGGAAGCTCGTGTCACAAACATCTTGCTGGCTTCAGACCTGCTGAAAATGCCGTCCATAATTGGGATAGCTGCATTCCACTCGCCCAAGCGAATCTATTTATGAGGTTCCCGGCCCGTGGAAACGCCGCTGTGTACTTATGCAGAAAAGAAAACAAGACAAAATGACAACCATTCTCTAAACTCTTCAAACCTTGCCATCGTGAATCCCCAGACAACTACGTCCTTTGCTTAGCATGCTTAGCTTCAAGATGCTCAAGTCATCCTCAGACCCCACGCTTTGACCTCCCTAACTTGAATCCGAAGCCCACTAGCCTAAACTTGACCTCAAAGTCTGCAGATTGAAGCTTTGGGGCTGCTTCCCAGTGCCCTGACTGCGGCCCAGCTCAGCCAGCAAGCCTTGCATCCATGTTCTCAAAAAAGGATTTCAAAGCTCTGAGAAAAAGGCAGGCCTCGCTACCCTCAAGAAGCAACATTAGAGGCACAGTGGCTCAAGAAAATGGAACAGGCACTCACGTCACGTTACAGCCAGACTGCTTCCCTCGAAAAATCGACTCAAAAAGAAATTAATTCTCGATCGAGGTTCTGTCGGTGAAGGCTTCGTCGTGGTACTCCAACAACCCCTGCAAGACCGCATTCTACAGCTTTTCTACTACCACCACCAGACTACTAACATGCTTGTTAGGCACAGCGGTTCAGCCCTGAATGCTGTACATACCTGCTTGTACAGGTGTAACTATTATCCAAGATCAAGGTCTGGGCTTTGGCGGAATCTGTGACCAGGTCGTTGCAGGGCATATGGCATGAAAGGAACACTGACGACCGCAGCTCCCACTTCCATGCCCAACTGCGCAGTAAGTCACCACTGTAATCCGATGCCCTTACCCGCTCACCTCGCAGATCCATGCGGTTGGAAGGTCTCGCCGAAATCCTGCCTCTGCCTCACGGAAAGCCGGCTAAACGGCTAAACCATGCATGGGTCTTGTTTCAATGCAGACGCCATCCTATGTCCTGAGTTGGAAACCAAAGCCCCAAGACATGGCAAAGCATGCCTGAAGGGATGATGTTCGATGCTGAACTTCCCTTCACATCTGGTTTGCAAACCTTTGGATAGATATGCAGGTGCATTGCGAGGTAATCTCCCCAAGACCGGACCGCTGTGAAGGCCAACTGAAAGA